ACTAAATGAACATGGCATCATATCTGACAGTTAATTTGCATGATCATGATTAATCGTGTTTTCGTGAGTGACATACTTATTGCTCCGTTGATTTAAAAAAGTCATTTCAAAATTAGCAACTTTTCAATAGAGCATTTTTTAATTTTAAATTTTAATAAGCAACAACATAAGGAATATAATAAGGAACAACATTTTAATAAGCATAATTTAAATCATTAAAATATATATAACTCAATTTCTTTTATTTTCAATGATAATAAAATGTATTCTTTAAAATTGTGTAATAATTTTTAAAAATTTGAACTGCAACATCATCATTATATACGAGTTGACAATAACGCTCTTATAAATTTTAAAATCGATTTACTAAATTAAGGCGATGCTGGAATACCGACATTTGCAGTTGGAACGATAACTTCGAAAATACTGAACGGAATTAAAATCGCTTTTACAGAATTGAAATAGACATAAAATGTAAGGGGGCAAACTATTTTTTGTAATAAAAATGACAAAAAATTAATAAAATTATCTTTTTTTTGGGTCGTATAGCTATCGTAATCTATCACCTGACGTAAACATTTCATTAGTATAAAAGTTCTGTAGCTCATATGTACAAAATAAGTAGCTCGCCCCCTTCGGATTACAGGAACAAATAATACAAGACCTTTTGAGCTACGATTAAAAGCGTAGAAAAAGATTTATCGTTTCAACTACAATTTATGATAATTCGCAAGCTTAGCTAAGGTAAAGACAGCAAAAATTGTGTCTAGCAGTAAGTGTCGGATTTTGCAACAGATAGCACTTCAATAAGTTAGATAAGGACATTGCACGTGTTTGAGTGAGACAAAAGATATTATATGAAGTTTATTTAGAAATACCACTGACACCAAAGAGTCTGTTTTATTGACCTTGTGCAAATTTTTCGACCTTCCGGCATCACCTTAATTATTACATTATCTAAAAAAAGTCTTTTAAATATTCATTCACTATTAAATCCAAAATGTTCTCTCCAAAAGTTCTAATATCAAAAATGATTTTATTTTACTGATAACAAGACAGTCGTAAATATGGATATACAATAATTCTTTATGAAATAAGAAATAAAAAAGTTAAAAGGATAAAAAAAAAGTGATAAAGAATAAAAAATGAAATAGAAAAGAGTTCCCTATTATGAGATAGCTGCTACTAATATGAGATGATAGCAGAGTTTCTGCTAAACTAATAAGTGCCATTTATTTAAAATGGCACCTATTAGTATATGTGTTGATTTTACCATGACCTTATTGCTCTAGGGGTAAAATCTATTTAGTAGAAAATTCATTATTATAGATGCGTGTAATCGTTACAAAAAAGATTTATTAAATTAGATATTGTCAAGTTTCATTGAATTTTTAAACCTTGTTTATATGATAAATAAATAAATATTTGACAATAAATTCTACATACAATAATAAAGTAAAATTGTACTAATAGAAAAATACTGGATGCTTAATTGTAGAGATTAGATTTGGTAATTGTGAAACCGTAATAAGAAATGGAGATTTGAGGTAATCTACGCTCCTATGCTCGAGTGATGTTGCTGAAATATGAACAAAGATTATTGTACAGTAATAAAAAGAGTGAAAATAATGTGATAAAGTTACGAAAAAATTTATATTATAGAAAATTGCATCGCAAGCTCATGCTGAATATATACATATACTGCTGCGCTCGAAATATTGGATATAATTGGGTTGGCGATATTGCAAATAAGCTTCTCCATTATATTTCTATTTCAGAAACATTAAATAAAATTTTTTAATTGCAATACTAATATTATAAACAGAAAACAATATGCTTCTAATATGAGAATGCCCCAAGAAATCGCTAATAAAGTGCAAAATACTATCAGTATTGCAATACTGATTTTGTATTTTATTAGCGATTTTTTGAGGCATTTTCATATTAGAGAATATTTTTTTCTGTTTTGCATATAAAGCTCTTTTTTTGCATTTTTCTACTTTTCAGAAAAAAATAATATTTAAATTAGATTTTACATTTCAGTACCTTAAAATTTATAATATTTGTTTGTGTGTTGTGCTGGTACATTACCTTGTAAAGGCTCGCACATCAAAGCAGAATGACTTTCCAAAGAATGAAATTGAAATGTTCATTAGGTCGTTTATTCACTAGTCAATTAATTGGCGAAACGAGCGGTGTGGCTACTGCATGATATTAATCAGAATGTGTCACGCTTGGGAAGACGAGTAACTTCAATCCAAAACGATTCGGAAATCTTGCGAGAATGCGAACGCGAACAGAAATCTTGAAGCATGTGAATGGAACGGAAATCTTGAGGTATGCGAACGCAAATGAAACGGAAATCTTTCAAATCGACAAAAATGTATGGAACGCGAGAACCACGCACTTCATGCGTGAAATATCTCACTGGTGTAAGCGCCACCGAATGAACAATGCGCGGTTTTACACTTTTACACAGGTTCGGTTAACAAAAAAAACATTGTATAAGCGACAACAAATATAAAGACGATCTGTATCGATTGGTACGTGATAGCAAACTTGTGGATCGCGAGCGACAAATAATGCGCAAGTATGAATTTTCGGGCGTCGCGTAGGTGATTCTGCGTCACGATACGTGACATACAATTAAATGGACGCACGCGAGACAAGAACCGATACATATATATGATGACCTTTATATGATATATATATGATGACCTTTGCGGTATACAGTGATTCGCTGCTGCTCGATTCGCGATCAAGGAGGAGCTATTTAAGAAAGTTAACGATTAAATATTAAAATTATAACGGAATAATGACGATCAGGTTTATTCCAGAACAATATTACAATTTTATTCATAGACTTCCGGCAATTACACAGAATGAACTCGGTATTTCATAATAGGAGACATTCCTCTATATAAAAAGTACAAAGATAAAAAAATATAAATGTAAAGCAATATAAAAAAATTCTAATTATTGAAAAAATAAATTTAAATTTTCTTTTATAATTAAAACAATCACAAACAAATATATTTTTTTGCAATAAATTCTTTGCATTGTTTTAATCGTCAATTTAATAATAATGATGATGCTTATTAACATCATTATTATTAAATTGATGATCAATGTAATTTATGATCTTACTATTCCAGCATTAATTTATAATTGCGTTACAAATCCAACAGTGTAGCGCAGTTTATGTACTTAATTGAAAATTTATTTAAAATTTATGTAGAAATATTAAGTAAAATTTGCAGTTAGGTCCCAGTCTCGATGGCTTTAACTTTGATACATGATATCAAGGTCAAAGCCCTGAGTGACCTTCAAAAAGTTCTAGCCTTAAAATTCACTCAAATATTATTAGGTATCAACTAAGATCCAACCTCAATCATATTTGGCGTATTTTTATTTAATTGTGTACATAGCGGTTTGGTTTTTTATGTATTGCAAATAAATTTTATTTTTTGATTTTGATTTTCTATAAGAAACTATTTTTAAAAACCAGAAATCTGCCAGTCTACAACATTAATGTTAATTATTAAATTGCTTATACAGTCTTAAAATAAAATGCATGTGTAGCAACTACGTAAATAAAGCGCTTGCATTTTACTATTAAATATATTCCTTTGTTATTACTTTCTGCTAAGAAATATTCTATTTATTTTTTTTTAATGGAAAAGATTCTTCTTAATAAAAAAAGAATATATTTTTTTACCCAAATGTGTTGATCTTGTGCATTAAATAACAAATATATTATTTAATAAAATGGAAAATAGGAATTTACGTAATATTTTTCATTGTTCAGTAATTTCTAAAACGATGCATATTGTTAATTCTCTGCCGAAATGACTACTGTCAAGTGCAGTCCGGGAGATTCTGGATTCGTTCCTCTTTACAATGAGATTCTTGCTTAACATTCCTTCGCGGATTAATCCCATGAGATCCGATAGAAGCAATTATGCACTTTAAATTTGAAGTTCTTGCTCTCCGCTATGAAAACTTTTCTTTTCTTGTGTCAGTTACTAATTGATGTGCCCCGTGTGTGATCCGAAGTACTTAATCTTATCAAATCTAGTCAAAGAAGACCGGTGATTCAAATCGGCGGAAGTAACGGTAGATACTTCCCTGATATAAATTGACCTAATAAATATCTGTTATAAGTTGACCTGATAAAATTTTAATTCAAACCTAAAATTAAAAGTCCGTTTTAACCTAGAAGATACAAAGTTAAATTTAGCCAAAGTTCAATAAATTTTTTTTAATACATTACTTATCTGGTAAAAAAAATGTATATAAAAAAAATAAAACTACTTATTTTTAACTTATTTCTCTTTTTACACATATTTTTATATAATACGAAAAATCATATTAAAGAATCACTGAGCGCTCACTGATCTGTTTTCTCTGCTGAACGCAGCTATTATAGCTGAAGTTGGAATAGTGAAATCATAATTGATCTTTCTTAATAATTTGATGCGACTAAGCATCTTAAAATAGTAAGAAGAAGTTATTGTGAAAAATGTATATTTCAGCCAGAGTTTGGACCTGGAATCTCGATTTTTTGGGGAGGGCTTTTCAACTAATTCGATCACCGAAGCATGTGATAATATTTATCGTAATAATCGATATATTGAGAATGTATGCTAGAGGCACGTATATTAAACAATATTAATTTGGAAACATTGTACTTGTAAAAAGAAAAGGAATTATCAACGACATTATTGAAAACATATAACTTTTTCATTATTTTTAAACTTTCAGTGTTTTTATATATTATTAGTTTCTTTATTTTATATTTATTTCTGAACATATGCTATTTTAATAATTGTAATATGTGATTACAAATAGCAAAATAGCACAGATTTATAAAAAAAATAGATAAATATAAAATTAAAAAAGCTAATAATAAGTTAATAAAAACATAAAGAAACAAAATAACTGTTAAAATACACTTTTGCAATTACACTGTGCAAATACACTTTTGTAAAAACATAAAGTTTTTGATTTGCAGACAGTTTTCTTAAACCAAATTTTTATTTGATTCGCAAGTTGTGCTTGACATCGAAAGGAATTTTATTTATTATCTAGCAAAATATAAATTTTTTATCTCTATTTTGCGGGCTTAGAATTCTTGTAAGCATTGAAATGAAACAATCCAATTATTACGATGCTTTTCTTGAACCGGCTTTCTAATAATAGTCCTATCCTCTGTTCCTGGTCGAAGATCTTCCCGCCTCTCTTTCACTGATGACATCGCTCGGATGATATAACTTGGAAATGCACGTGGATTGTTCGGCTTTTCGTTTGTTCTGCAAAGCGGGTCCTTGACAGTCTTCCTCAGTCAAGGCATATGTAGCAGTGAATTCTTCGGGGTTCGACAGAATGCAATTCTTAGGAATGACGAAATCGTTGTTGGACTGCTGGTCGTAGTTACCGCAGAGACCGCGTACTGCATCAAGGTATTTGTAGTCTAACGTCTAACAACAAACGTGTTTTTCGTTACATTAAAATTTAGTGTACCTCATAATCATGTTATACTCAATTTATATTAGAGGATACACTTATTGTTAGTTTTTGCCGTTTTTTTCTTAAAAAATGCATTTATTTCAATAAGAATATGAATTAATACCTTAATCAAAATATTTTTCATCGTTTTTTATTACTTTTTCTATCTTTCTGGCAAAAGTTGGATTCCGCGACGATAAAACGAGCTATCTTTTGAAGCAAGCCACTTTTGAATGTATCCACATTCCACCCATTTTCCTATTTGTTTGTAATTGGAAAAATGTTTATCAGCGAGCGCGTGTTGCATCGATCGGAAGTGATGGTAATCCGATGGGGTCAAGTTTGGAGAATAAGCTAAGTGCAGGAGACCTTTCCATTCGAGCTCTAACAATGCTTCTTTTACATATTTTGAAATATTCAAGGAAAATCTTATCTCAAAGATTAGAGAAACTGCTTAGAGTTCCGTCAGTGGCCCGGCTAACATTACTTACAAGGGAACCTCGCGAAG